TGATGCCACCTTTTCAACGCATGTTTAAACACTAAAAAGGCTGAACCACTGTTTTGCAACCTCCTGAATTGCATGCAGCTGTAGGGCAGTTGTGGCACAGCCCTATATTGTTTAATGGATTGAGTTCAGTAGGGGTACCCTTGCCGCGCCCCTCTAAAAAGTGATCCGCGACGGACAGCATTTGATCGGGCATTTTCAGGTGGTGAGGAGGCAATATCTCACCTAAATGGATCATATTTGATGCCAGTATCACTCACTGAGTGAGCCATGCAGTTTAATTTGCTTTTAATAATTTTTAATGGTACGGCCATGAGAGACTGCATGCTTTTCTTTTGATGGGCAGGGGGTTGTTATATCTATTTTATAAGTACAAAAATAATATCTGTTGATATTGTAATAAATCGAGCCCATAGCTGTTTGGCACCCTGCCTGTGCTGCACTAAAATTTCAAGTATTGCTATCATTCCTGCTTAGTAAACTGTTGACTGCCTGTTCCTTATGTTTCTGAAATGACAAAAGATGGTGTGAAGGGAAATCATATCCAGTAGGGACACCTGTGACAGCGGTGTCTGAAATTACATCATCTCAGCCTAGGCCAGTGGTGGGCAACCTTTTTTTTCAACTGAGCCAAATCTCGCCAAAACCACGATTGAAATTTATTTTGAGAGCCACATTTTTAAAACTGAAAATACATCCCCCATATAGTAATTCATCCCCCATAGTAATTCATCCCCCATATAGTAATTCATCCCCCATAGTAATTCATCCCCCATATAGTAATTCATCCGCCATATAGTAATTCATCCCCCATTTAGTAATTCATCCCCCATAGTAATTCAGCCCCCATATAGTAATTCATCCCCCATATAGTAATTCATCCCCCATAGTAATTAATCCCCTATATAGTAATTCATCCCCCATAGTAATTCATCCCCCATATAGTAATTCATCCCCCATATAGTAATTCATCCCCCATAGTAATTCATCTCCCATAGTAATTAATCCCCCATATAGTAATTCATCCCCCATATAGTAATTCATCCCCCATAGTAATTCATCCCCCCCCATAGTAATTCATCCCCCATATAGTAATTCATCCCCCATAGTAATTCATCCCCCATATAGTAATTTATCCCCCATATAGTAATTCATCCCCCATAGTAATTCATCCCCCATAGTAATTCATCCCCCATAGTAATTAATCCCCCCATATAGTAATTCATCCCCCATCAATAGTAAATTCATCCCCCATATAGTAATTCATCCCCCATATAGTAATTCATCCCCCATAGTAATTCATCCCCCATATAGTAATTCATCCCCCATATAGTAATTCATCCCCCATAGTAATTCATCCCCCATAGTAATTCATCCCCCATATAGTAATTCATCCCCCATAGTAATTAATCCCCCATATAGTAATTCATCCCCCATATAGTAATTCATCCCCATAGTAATTCATCCCCCATATAGTAATTCATCCCCCATATAGTAATTCATCCCCCATATAGTAATTCATCCCCCATAGTAATTCATCCCCCATATAGTAATCATCCCCCATAGTAATTCATCCCCCATAGTAATTCATCCCCCATATAGTAATTCATCCCCCATATAGTAATTCATCCCCCATAGTAATTAATCCCCCATAGTAATTCATCCCCCATATAGTAATTCATCCCCATATAGTAATTAATCCCCCCATATAGTAATTCATCCCCCATAGTAATTCATCCCCCATATAGTAATTCATCCCCCATAGTAATTCATCCCCCATATAGTAATTCATCCCCCATATAGTAATTCATCCCCCATATAGTAATTCATCCCCCATATAGTAATTCATCCCCCCATATAGTAATTTACATCCCCCATATAGTAATTCATCCCCCATAGTAATTCATCCCCCATATAGTAATTCATCCCCCCATAGTAATTCATCCCCCATATAGTAATTCATCCCCCATAGTAATTCATCCCCCATATAGTAATTCATCCCCCATAGTAATTCATCCCCCATAGTAATTCATCCCCCATATAGTAATTCATCCCCCATATAGTAATTCATCCCCCATAGTAATTCATCCCCCATATAGTAATTCATCCCCCCATATAGTAATCCATTCCCCATAGTAATTCATCCCCCATATAGTAATTCATCCCCCATAGTAATTCATCCCCCATATAGTAATTCATCCCCCATAGTAATTCATCCCCCATATAGTAATTCAGTAATTCATCCCCCATATAGTAATTCATCCCCCATAGTAATTCATCCCCCATATAGTAATTCATCCCCCATAGTAATTCATCCCCCATATAGTAATTTATCCCCCCTATAGTAATTCATCCCCCCTATAGTAATTAATTCCCCATATTGTGTCAATTCACTTACCTTTGCTCCGCGCGTTCCTCTCGCCGTGTTCCCGGCGCCGTTCCGGTCTTTAGGGTGGACTGTGAGAGGAGAGGAGTTCGTCACGCTGCCCCGCCTACATCCTGACAGCCAATGTTTGCCACGCTCCGTGGGATTAAAAGGTCCGCCGGGCCGTTTGCCCATTGCTGGGCTAGCTGCAGAGTCCTGACTTTTGGGGCGGCCGCCCGAGAGGAGGGAGGGGAGCGGGCGCCCGGCACACAGAAGAGCCGCATTAAAATGTGTAAAGAGCCGCATGTGGCTCGCGAACCGCGGCTTGCCGACCACTGGCCTAGGCAAAGTCACTGGAAGAGAACTGTTTTTTAATGTTAAAGCGGAGTTCCACTCGACCTATAAAAAAAAAAGTCAGCAGCTACAGTTTTTGACTTTGACTTTTAAAAAAACAGCCACTTACCTGTCCCTCGGTCCCGCGGTGTGGCCTCTGCGGCTCGTTTCACCGTCCGTCCTGGATTCCAGGAGGCTGGCATCTTCAGTATGGGCACCCTGCTGTGATAGCTTGCGGCTTCACAGCCGGGTACCCACTGCGCATGCGCGAATAGTACTGCGCTTCTTGAACGGTCCTGTAGTCTTCTGGGACCTGTCATGTGTCCCAAAAGACTACAGGGAGGGAGGGAGGACATCCTAGGCGATCGGACCGGAAGTGGGAGCGGGTACCTGTCAAATTCAGGTACCCGCTCCCCCCCCCCCGCTCCCCAAAGGTGCTAATCCTTAATGGGGAGCGGGGAAGCAGTTCTTAAAGCGGAACTTCCCCTTTTGGGTGGAGCCCTGCTTTAAGATATGTAGCTCTACTCCCGTAGGAGCTGTAGCAATACCGTCCAGGTCTTTCTCAAAAGCTTTGCCCTTGGGATTTAACCGCTTCCGTGCCATCCTATAGCAAAAATACTGCTACAGGGTGGCACAGGTGCGCAAAATCATGTATATATATGTGATTTTGCAGTTCTGGGTAGGGGGCCCTACCCACGTCGCCATTAGCGGCCTCAGCTGTCAATCACCGGGTCCCGGCCGGTGATTCCCCACGATCTCCAAGCATTACCGAAGGGGCAGAGACCTGTGTATATAAATAACACAGATCTGTCCTGCCAGCTCCAGCATAGCAGAGCCATACAAAGCAGTGTGCTTACAGTGGAAAGCACTCACACAACACACATTTAACCCTTTTATCGCCCCACATGTTAACCTCTTCTTGCCCAGTGTCATTAGTACAGTAGTGCTTTTTATTAGTGACACCAAGTCAGTTCCCCCCCAGTGTCAGAATGCCCACCTTAGTCTCGCAGTCCCACTCTAAGTCGTTGATCTCTGCCATTACTAATAAAAAACATTTTTTTTTAATGTCAAATTCCAGTATACATACCGCCATTTGTAGACGCTATAACTTTCATGTAACCAATTAATTTACACATTTTGGGATTTTTTTTTTAGCAAAGACATGTAGCAGAATACATTTTGGCTTAAATTTATAACGAAATTTGATTTTTAACATTTTTTTTTACTGGACATGTTTAATAGCAAAAAGTCAAAAATATTATTTTCTCAAAATTGTCAGCATTTTTTGATTATAGCGCAAAAAATACAAAACGCATAGGCGATCAAATACCACCAAAAGAAAGCTCCATTTGTGGAGAAAAAAAAAGGAGATAATTTAAATTGGGTGCAGCATTGCATGACCACACAATTGTCAGTTAAAGTAATGCAGCGCCGTATTGCAAAAAATGGCCTGGTCAGGAAGGGGGGTAAATCTTCTGGAGGGCAAGTGGTTAAAGAATCCTTGAAAGCCATTAGGTGGCAGGTCTCAGTAGTAAGTAATAATTTGTGGAGGGCAAGGATGGAATGGTTTAGGTCAGGGAAAAGGGTCAGAAAGACTAAGTTCAATTTATCTGAAAGTGTGCTTACATATTCTTTAAAGTAAACTTTAGTTGAATGATTTTTACTTTGCTATAATGCTGTTAAGTATTGACAATTCCCTTGTCCTAATTTAAAGCACTTGTTTCCTCTTTTCATTCTTTGTTGCATCTCTTTTTTCTGCTGATTTTCTCCAGGATTTTCAACAGGAGGCCAGCAATGACAGCTCCATACTTCTCTATTTCTCTGGTGAGAGATGTAAACTTTCTGCTTACTGCTTGCATAGACTTGGAATAAAGTGTGCTCAGAATGTAGCTCTAGGTAGGATTATTTGCTGTTCACATTGGCATAGTGTTGAGTACAGAGGAGGGAATGATCAGTTATTTTGATAAAATCTCACACACATAGACACACCATAGTTATTCATAAGGAGTGTGGGCTGCTGAATGGAGCACAAAATAATCCCACCCATACTGTGATGCCAGGAAGGGGGGTGGATATTTTACACATTCCTGATCTGTATTGCTCCTGCTATCAGTAGGATGACAGAGAAGCACCTGCTCCATCCACAAGATGCTGTCATGTCACGTTTCACTATGTAGCAGCCCTTCGGATTAAATAGGTGACAGGGAGAGCATGCACTGGGGTCAGGGGAATGGAACTAGGGGTCCCTACTCCGGAGAACTTCCCGGGGGACCTGCATGAAGAAGAAGATGACTATCCTACTTGGATGATCAGTTCGCTTACCACCATCCTGGTTGTTACCATCAGTGGTGACATATTTGGCAATCTTTTGGTCATCACATCTGTCGTCAGGAACAAGAAACTGCGCAAAGCGGGTAAAATATTTTTTTACAAATATTATTACTAAGCGTTTATTACTACTTTACAGTGGACCATAAATTCTAACTCTGTTTACTCAGTTAACAAAGTATCTATCTTTTTGTCTGTATGTTACCTATGTACAATATATATCGGTATTTTATCTATACACAGTAACTGTGTCCTAAGATGACCATACACCATAATTTGACTGTGTAATCTACTTTATCTTTACTAACAATTATCTAATGCCTGACTGAATATAAATCAAATGGGTAAATCTATGGGTAATTTTAATTCCACCAAATACATCAGCCTTTAAATTAAATAGCTCACAAAAAAAAAATCAGTAGCATACATAAAAGCTGTATAAAAATATGTAATATATTTATTTTTTACGAAACAATAATATCTCACATGTGAGTTAACAAGAAATATAATGGACTCTTAAAATATTAAAACAAATGGACATACAGTAGGTGTATCAAAGTCACAGCAACTGCCCTTAACATTTACACTGAAATAATAGTAGGTCAGTACAATTTCAAATACGCCAAGGTCTACACATTGTGCAGCTTATAGTAAAAAAACGAGTAACTCTGGCGCACAGGAGTAAAGTAGTGTAAGGGTGAAAAGGATAAAAATGATAAAGTAAAAGATGATAATGGCAATATTGGCATACAAGTACTTAAAACAGGGTATGTAATTGCATTGGTGTACAATAGGTCCTTATAAGTGTCTCTCGGGCAATCTGCCTACAATCTTTTTAGCACAAAAAGACGGCAGCCATCCTCGGTGCAAGCCAGCTTTGTATGCAGGGACAGAAGAAAAGAGACAGGAGGCGCCCGTCTGAGTGTAGTAATACTGAGTGCATTACTACACTCAGACGGGCACCTCCTGTCTCTTTTCTTCTGTCCCTACATTGTGCAGTTTAAATCTGCTTCCTCAGGACCCACAAAAAAAAAAGAGTTGGCAGCGAATGAGATTTACATGGAAAGTCCCATGAATGGTGGTGAAAAGCCTTTTAGAATATAGTACATGTCGAGCATAAAATACACCAATCAGTCCCCTAACCAATTATTTAGAGCCAGCATAGGATATAGCACAGTGTTTCTGAAGTCATGGGACCTAGACAATTAACACCACATGGATCTGAAAATGATGCTACATGTGGAGGGCACCAAACACAGGGCTTCAAAATCCATCAAGGTTCACAGGAGACTTGCAGTTTCCCAGTACACAGTCTTCTAGGCTGAGTGGGGCTGAATATCATTCAATCTGGAAACGGGCAGCAGCTACACTAACTAAAGTATCTGCGGAGGATAGTGCTGGAGTGGGCGCAGAAGGTAGGAACTGCATCAAAAGCTGAATTTTTTTTTAGAAGCTATGAGGGCATTTTTCTTTAGAAGCTTGGCATGGACTTTGTTTTATCAACATTTCTGAAAATTTAACTTTGCCTGTTACCCACAGCAACCATATTCCATGTTTACAGAGCAACATGGCATAACAAATCAGTGTGGTTGTTACAGGTAAGAAGGACATATCTACATTGAAACAATGTGATAAATACCTATGAGATTTGAAGAGCCGGTAGTCTTTACCTAGTCTTGTTTCTGAAATTTCCATGTCTATACGGCAAGGCATAAAACAGAAAAACAATTTGACACATCTGCAATGAATAAACATGAACATTGTTCATCTTCTCAGCTTAAAGCAGAGTGACACCAGGCGAACAAGGGATTAGAATTCATTAGCCACTGAGATCCAAGTAATCGATCATTTGATGGACACATAGAAGAAGTCCGCTGCTGGCAGTCCGTTATGTTCCACTGATGGTGCATTAAGGCTTCAAAGGAGAGGATTTGCTCAAGTGCATTGTTTGACTTTCAGATTATCTTCACTCCCCAAGTTCGGGAAATAAAAATCATGATAATGTAGGTCATTCTCATACAATTCTAGTGTCCTCAGTTGGACAATTTTTAATACAGTTTACAGGTCATCAATATGAAATGCAAGCTTGCTGTAATCAAAGTGGACATAACATAACTATTATTCGATTGAATAACATTTAAAACTTGACATATTGTGCAGGAGAATTTAAATATATAACATGTATCATTCATATTATTACAAGGCCTTGGTTTGCATGGGGTCCCAGAGGAATTTAGCCACATGCCTAGCTCAACTTAGACAACAGGTGTACTTTAAAGCACCAAAACGCAAGCTATGATTATTAAATAGTGGCTCATTCTATCCATCTAAAAATGCCGTAATTTATGTTAACAAAAACACCTGTGGAGAAAAATTTTAAAATATACCTTATACCTAGCTTCCATTGCAATGCCTGGAAGAGGGTGATGCAACTATTCTCTTGGCAAGATCATGGGAATGGCAAGATGCATTGTGCTGGCACATATTCTCATGAAATTTGGGATACTCAAAGTTTCTAATGTCTCACTGGTAGAACCATGATGTGACACTCTCTTTTGTGGAAGCCGAGTGTATATATTTTAACTTTTGTTTTGGGTGGGTGGGCCACTCATTAATAAGGGGTGCATGCATTTTGGTGCTTTAAAGTCACCCTGTTGTCTAAATTGGGTTTGGTGAGTGGCCAAATTCCTCTGAGACCCCATGCAAACAAAGGCTTCCTGATAATATAAATAATATAAACCACAATTAAAGATGTATGGGAGATAAACATGTTTAATACTTTTGATCATTCATTTTACACTTGTTGGCTTTTAATATATTTAGCACACAGTTCTAATAAATAAGATAGGTGGCCTCAAGAGAACAGCACCGAAAATACAGTACAATTTCATCTTACCTCTGCAGGGACCAGCCCTTGTACTTAAAGAAAGATGGAGACTGCCAATGGTTAGCTCCTTCTGAAAATGCTAGCTGTCTGGCTGTCTCAGGTTCTGGATGGCTGTTTCCATAGGACTAGCGACATGCTGTGTGACTTTTCCCTGTAATAAATAAGTGAGTGCATGGGGTTTTCCACCACAATAGATGGTATGTAATTTTTGGAGCTCAAATTCTATTGAACTTTGTTTTGAACCACACTAATAATATGATTACTCAGATACGCTTGCACCTTGTTGGCAGCAGCATTTACTTTTATGAAGCTGACAGGTACAGCTACACTTTAAAGTGTATGTAAGCCCTAACAATGATCCTGCCCTACCTAGCCATTTTTTTTGTAGACTATTATTATTATTATACAGGATTTATAGAGCGCCAACAGTTTGCTCAGCGCTTTACAATATAACGGGAGACAATACAGCAACATTACAGTTCAATACAAGAAGGATAGGAGGGCCCTGCTCCTTGGAGCTTACAATCTAGGAGAGACTACCCCCTACGTTATATAGATGAGGGGGCTAGGAAATGTTGTGTAGACCTTTATGCAATTTCTGACAACACTGCTCCTGCACAGATGCAATACAGTGAGTGAATGTTGTCACCAAAGACAGGAAAAGTGTTACTAGCAGAATCACCAGGTTAAAATAAGGGAAAACAAATTCTGAACTCCAAGGACTAGTGAGCTGCAATATTGGTTATTTGTTCATGGGTTTAGATATACTTTATTACCAGAATGAAAAAACCCCACATTAAAATCTAAAGAAGTATGGAGAAGATAATGTCAGCTATTCTACAGAAATTCATCCTAGCATGAACTGGTGGCAAAAGAATGAAAAGGTGGAGTCTGAAGTGGTACTTGAGGCATGGAGACACTAGGGAAGTGCACCTTGGAGGTGTTATTCAACAGGTCCCATATAAGGCCCCTTTCGCACTGGCCAGAACCGTTTTTTTCTCAGCAGAGAATCTATAAGCTGATCCCTTGATGAGCTAAGCGAAGTGGCCAGAGGACAGGTCCATGTCCGCTCTGCTTCTGCAGAGTAGACATGGAAACAGGCCGCTCTACTCTAAGGGCAGTCGGATGCAAACAGATAGGCTGTCTGATTACACGTGACTGTCCTCTGATCTGATCAGATGGAGGGGATTGGATCACCTTCTGTTTGTTTTTGCCGTATCAGATTGGAGGTAGTCAGGTGTAAACAGACACAAGTCCATTTACATCTGCAGCTCCATAGAGGAGGATGAAGGGTCTCAGCTGGACCTCCTGAAAAATGGACAGGTGGACCCGAACGTTGTGAAAAGGGCCTAAGGGTCATCAAAAATGAGGTGGTGCTTGACTCAGCATTGTGAGGTTAAAGCTGAATGCCTTGGTTGGTAGGTTACAGAGGTATCTTGGCAAAAGAGAGAAAGTGAGGATAGCTGTAAAGGTGAGTGAATGCTCACCATAAGAATGTTGAATGGGGGATGTTGTTTTTCAGGTTTTGGAGAAGCTCTATGGCAATCACTGAGATCCACAAGAAAGACAGGGAAGGTAGAAAGACTCCACAAGATTGTAACATGACTCATTGCCAATGATGAAATAACTTGTGAAAATCATAAATATCACCTGTTGCATGGGCTACTTGAAAATCTGCAAAGACTACAAATTAGTTTTGAAAACTTTACACCAGAATAGCCTGGCTTGTTGCCAAAAAAAGGTCTGCACTACACCCAGTAAACACTACCTGTCTTTGCTCCTTGTCACCTTCTCCTGTGACCCCATTGTAATAGTAATTACAGTAATGGGTTTTCTTGAAATGCATAGACATTTTTTCATATTTTATAACTGCTATGTGGTTCTAGTTTCCTTCAGTGTGCAGAGTTTACACAGAATGACATACTCTGTATGGTTCACTGACCTTGGCAACCAACACTCAGCGTGCATTCTCAAAATGCTGTCCACCAAGGATAACAAAACATAGCTTTCTGGGAATACAACAGGTAACCATGGGACACTGAGTGATTTCCGTGTCTAAAAGCAGAAGGAAATGTTAATATATCTGTCAGAAAAGATTTTCAAGTTGTGGAAAAAATAGACTTAGCAACCAGTGTAGCAAGTGATGAATTAAAGATACAACTGAAGAATCTGTTCTTTCAGGGTCTCTTTGTCAAGCCA